CGTATGCGATGTACAACGAGGAGATCCATCTCCCTAGCAGGGCCTCCCAAGCTGAGGACGAGTCTGGCGCTTCTTTCAGAGAAGCCCAGCTAAAAGTGAAAGTATACAGCCAATACCAGGACCCACCATCACCCTGGTATCAAAATAGTCGCATGACGACAAGTCTCCCTTAAGGGCAGCGAATGCTTTAGGTAGCGGCGACCTGGGGCAGACTTTGGCTAGGCTGATCTCGGTACTGCGGGAAACCACAATGGCTAGATCAGCAATACTACAAAATGAAAGTGGAAGCTATGCTGTAACCCGCATGCCCAGTGAGAGCGGGCCGTCCAATTATCAAAGTAAGTATTACAGTATGACTTGCGATTTGGTAACTCTAAGAAAACTTTTCCTTCCCTTAGAGCTGCAGTGAAACCTAAAATCGATGGCATCTACTCAAAAAGAGACTTCCAATGGAAGAAAAGGAGGAGAACATTTCGTGGATTGGAAAACGATTTATAAAAGCCATTGAAATATTCTTCATATAGAAATCGTTTTGTGAAGTGGCCACAGGTACCCAGCAGTACAGATGTGATCCAATCCTGAGCCCAAGTCAACTAAGCCAACCGCATCTCTCCGGAGTCAAGAAATTCGGCCCAATCATGTTTGGAAGGCTAAGAAAACCAAGTTAATACATCGATAGGTCACCACAAGTTATTGTGTAGACCAGATATGTATTCATTCACGTCTACGATTTTGCAAATCCAGTCGATTTCATGGCTCATCCATCAATGCTTCTCTAACCTTCTAAAGCATTATCGGTTATCATTTGATGAAATTTTGCGTGTGAAGTTCTCTTCATAAGCGAAGACACTTTTAAACAACCTAGAAGTACAATTTTAAATCTATGTAAACACTACCTAAAAGCGAACAATTTTCTAAATAAGTACGAGAAAATCATTTTAAAAAACAAATTCTTTGAATAACTGAAATTGGTTTTATAAAATCCGATTTTAGTCCGTTCTATAAGCGCCATTGTGGAAAATTGGAAATGGGCAGTCATAAGTGGAAGGGCTATTAAGTAGGAGTGGATAGCTGTATGGGAACCTGTGGCTTAGACCACAATTTCTTCTGTTTCCCTAGCTCAGCTGACGTTCACCAAGATGGTATGGCACACAGAAAGTAAAGTAATAATACCAAGAAATAGAAGTATTTGCGAAATATTGAGTTTATTCTTTTGCAAACAGTTCGGCTATGAGAGCCTGTACTCGTTTTCCTACGATGTGAAAGATTGAAAACAATAGTTTCAATGTAATAGTGCTTCAAAGGAAGACAGCCGCATTGCTTTTGCCTACTTTTCAAGTTCTGAGAAAGATTATAAATCGATAAAACTGTTGGGTCACATACTCCTTGGTTTTTCGTTCGAGATATTTATGAGTGTTACATAATCTTCCATAAAATTGGAACTTTTTAAACTTTTGAAACGAGTCCTTATCGATTCGAAACAAACATTTTTACTTTCTTACTGGCTCTATCCCATTCTTAAATGACTTCTCTCTCATAAGTGCGTACTTGCGTCACTGCAATTTTCTCCTGTCGGATTGAGTGCTTTTTTGATGTTATGAAACTTTCCTGAAGCGGATCAGTTTTCGAATTGTTCTTCGGCAATCCAGAATTGCGAAAAGATTTGAAAGAATGTCATGGATGATTGTGAGCGTTGTCGGTCGTCGTGAAGCTGCATGGTATGGCCTGACTCATCACCTCTTCTGCTTCAAATACAAAGGCCACGGTGGAATGACCGTCACTAAGGTAACATTGCATTCTACAAAACCCCGATACCGGCCATCATTCATAATATTCTAACCCTAGTAACTTGTAACGTACGCATGATTTCCAGATGCAGGTAAAAGTCCCTACCATTCCTTGAGAGCTAACGAATTCGCAGAAATATATTTAGCATTGAGAAATGGTTTTTTGAGGCAAGAAATATGTTCTTTTCATGCAGTGTCCCTCAGGTTCAATGACGATTGAATTTTAGTCCATCGTTGTCCCATTTTTTTCTAATTTCTCTATAAAATAAAGAAAGCATAATGTAGTAACGAAAAAAATAACTTTCGTTCAATAACGAAAATAGGATATAATAAAGACTTTGAACGAGACCGCACAGGTTATCCATACTATGGAGTGGTGTTATGAGTGGAAACTCTGGCAACTTTCCTCCATTTTCCCCCATATTTAGGACCACGCTGAACATCAGAACCGAGGTAATAACTGCTTCAAAGTAATCTCCATCGAAATTCTGTGATAACTTTTCAATGGCTTTCGTAAAAGGCTAATTAATGAGTTTAAATATGTTGTTTATTTCGAGTCAAATTTCTGGGCGCACTTTCCAACCTCATTGGCATGAAGTGCTTCGATTACGGTAACTGTAACACTCTTATAAGGCTTGCTCAAGGACTTCAACATTATCACTGATCATAAGATATCGGTGCAGATTGTGTATTTTCATTTCATTAACTGAACTATAGAGAATCGACTCTAGGTTCCTTCTGACAAGTGTAGCAGAAAATATTGACGACTTCAAAGTGACATAGCTTTTTGCCTCTTTTAATCACTACTGCCTTTTCTCAGTAATGAACTTCGTAGACACCATTTCTTATATACACTTTTATAAGATAAAATCAATCACATCAACTATTTTTAACCAATCTGTAAACAACTGTGCTTTTAAAGATCGGAGTTGGAGCTCGTAGTCAAGCAGAAAAGACTACAGAGCCACTGAAAAATTTCTAGTGGTAAAATTCGTTGGTTAGTGTGGTCAACGATGTCACTGAGTCTTCACAGTTCGACAGAATATTCTTGTCGGTTCGCTCCGCCTTAGCCTTGTCCCTCAGGTGCTTGTTTTTCATCGTCGCTCCATTCAATTGTTTTCGTGCCAACGCTCTCTTGCAAGTAATGAACTGTTTCTTCATCTTCAACGTAACCTGTTTCCACTTTTACCGAATATATTTAGTTAACGTTCCGTTGATTGTCAACGATTGTGCACTACGAAGTTAGTTGATGACTGCTCTATATGAACTTCTCTTTATTCTTCAACCATTTCTCCGTTATTTTTACATTTACTACTTTTAATACTTATATTCCCTATTAAATTTTTTCATGCATCGTGGAGTATTTCATTCAAATTTATTCTTTGAACATCTATTTCTGATTGAGGGTATTCCTAAAAGAAATTAGAAGTTTAGTGATGATTTCTTCACGGATTCTTACAATCGTAACTCTTTCGCACTAGAAAGTAGGTTGATCTTCACCTTCTTGATGTCCTAAAATGATCTAGAATGATTATTTTCCTTAATATTCTTAACTCACAACCAATTTGTGTCTATATTGTTGAGCTTGCACGAGGTTGAGAGGTGTTTATTCGGCTAACGTTCCAACGTCTTCGTCTTAATCAGAGCCGACGATCCATTTCGATGGATGTCCACAGTTGACCCTCTTCTCGATGTGGCGCCTTCGTCTCGCATCGGATGCCATCATAATCCTTTTGTTTCTTATCCTGTTATCATAATTTTATCTTCTATTCTCAGCAATTTAATAGCAGAATACTTTTCTCCTCTTCCTTTGCGAATTCACTCTGACATAGTAGTTTTTTCGCAAGTTTTCAAGTTGCAAGTTCTCTTTATAAGAAAATAATCAAAAATTGATTATATCCGTTGTATCGATATCTATTCTGGAGCAATTACGAGATCCTAGTGACCGACTGAAAACCATGTCAAAAACATGATGAATTAGGCCGTCCTACAAACACTGAAGTCGGATCGGTGCCTTAAAAAAGCTCGAGTTTCGCACGATTTCGAATGCAAGGCGATGCAAGTTTCAAACTTCTAAGATATCACTGTAACATGCCGTTCTGGAAAGAACAAGCAGTGCTAGCTAAGATGTCGAAGTCTATTTTTTAAAGACCTGTACCTCCAACCGATAGTTTGCCTCTTCATCGTGGTTGTAGGATGTTCTGTAGTGTCGAACTGAGACGTATGGTAATAATCATTATTAATTAGGGTTTTCCAGCTAAACAAGTCTGGCATTCTCTTTCAAAATCACTGTTAAGGGTATGCCTAAGTCGTGACACCGCTACCCATAGTTATTTATAGCCATCTTAAAGGCAACGAGAATAAAAGGCCGTATATTTAGTCCACGGGCGCGATCTAGTGCACGACAGGTATGAACGGTTACTTTATTGGTGCTGATTCGAGTTACTCGATGACGAGCAGGATTGCGAATCACCTACCACACATGGGAATTCTATGAAAAATCCTCGAAAACCTATTCTCGTCCACCACCGCACTAAGCAGAAACTCGTAGCATGGCTATTTAAGTTGATGACATTAATACGTTGTTTTCAAAGAAGAAAAGCTCCTCCACACCACGTTGATGATTTTCGCAGTGTGACTCTCTACACGCCAAACATGGACAGTCATTCAGTTCTTCACTTTTTCTTTCTTTCTTCGAGATTTCTCGCACGAAATGCGAACCGTTTGAAAATCCACAAGATGGAAGACATTCGTATGTTCAATAGATATCCGTTCACTTTTTACTTTTCTGAACTTCCGCGAATCCACTCACACCATCACACACACAGTCGCTTTTGTGTTCAACGACGTCGACATTCACTACGTTGTGTTTCTTTCCTACTCTGTTTTCGTGGCTTTTACTCGCCTCATCTACGTTTCATTCATAGAGAAAATCAGGTAACTTTGCAAAACACACACGACTAAGAATCCGTACGCTTTCATTAAAATCTCCCACCTCAGATTAATATTCGAGTAGAAACAAAGATCAAGTCACCACAAAATCGAATATTTTCGATTATGGATGTTTTGTTCTGATTAAGGTGATGTAGCTGTTTTCGACACTGCTTCCGATTTCACAAAGTTTTGTGATATTCTGAACGGCAATGTCGGCTCATCAACCAGCTCATTTTTGAAAATATCCGCCGAATAAGATCTTCCGATTTATTTTTCCAGATGTCCCTTCAGACGGACAGTTTTCTAGAAAATTATGGATTCAATTTCGATTTCGATACATGTATTAACGTTCGAAGTAATAAGGAAGGCAACGACGTCGGTAGGGATGTGCACGGTTGTATGTGTACAGTTTTTAAATTCATATTTTTCTGCAAGCTGAAACTCTACGCATGCCAATTGAGAACCGGAACAGCATGTGCAGCTTCTCTCATTTTTTCTTTTCAGCTCTCGAAAGTCCAAGAGAAAACCTTCAACATCATGTTTCAAAAGAAATTTTTTGAGAATATTACAGACGAGTCAGTAATGGCGCATAAATTAGTCTTGTCGTCAGCTTCGACACAATTTCGAAACCTTCTGGCTAACCGCCAGCCAGAAGAGTCTGTGGTAAAGATCGATGTCGACTTAAGGGAAATTCCGAATTCAATTAATGCCTTCAAGGCAATGCTCAACGGTTTATATACGGGTGAGCTGAACTATACGCAGGCCGATCATGCAGAGGTGATTGTCAACATGAACTTTAGCAGCGACAGAACAACACTACTGAATTCTACTAATTAAAAAAAAGTAGTCATTGCAGATTCTCGCTGTTGCTCGCCATTGTCAAGTACCAACGATAGAAAGTAAACTTTTAGCAGTGAGCCAGGACTCAAACTCACTTACTGCTCTCTTATCACAACCAGAATTCTCCATAATCGCACTGAGCCCCCCGTGTGAGAACCATTTTCTTTAGCTCGTTTCCTATTTCTGAAAGTGGTGTTAATATAAGAAGACAAACGAATTCACTGAGCACATTTGACAATTAATCGTCTTCAGTTGAAAACGAAACCACTGAAATAACAAAATAGGAACTTTTTCGTGATTTCCGAACTAAAGGGTCGTCATTTTACATTTGAGATGGACTTCCTGGGGTATATTGTACTCTTCTTTGGGACGGACATCATGTACTGCCGTGTATGGCATTTTTTCTTACAAGCAAGCTGATGCAACAGACAAGGCGGTTTTAGAAAGCCGATTTTTTCTTTTTTTTCTCGAGCTGATTCTATCTGTAAATATGCTCATATTAATAACATATCTACGTTACATGGGGAGATAAGATGTCATACCGACACACCGGAAACAGCATATCCATCTCCTTCCACTTTGCCACCTGTCGAGTACATATCCGGTACTGGGCTGCGGTTGACCACCCCAATCCACCATTTTGGTGGGTGCACAAGTATCTTCATCTTAAACTGGATTTGGACCTCCCATATGACGAGCAACCATAATAGCATAAGTGGGATTGAATACGTAATTAGAATTTCGGCACAATACAAATACAAAAACAGGTCCATCTAAGTTGAATCTAGCGCGGATTCATATGAAGTAGAACCGTCGAAAAGCGAAGACTAAAATGATATCAGGTGATTCACAGCTTAAATGGGTTAGAAGTCCACTTTAGGGCAAACATATTTGCATACTCTTCTCGCGATTTATATGCAACCATGCCTATTAGCATCGACACTCGGTAACAGCGTGATTCCCTATCAGACAATCTCAGTGCAATCGACGCCAACGTCACAAATTGACGACAGCAGGTATTCGAGTCAGATTTCTTCGGCAAATTTTCGTATCGTCAACATGATTTCAGCAATCTAAATATTTCCATGACTCTCGTTCGATGTCGATATAAAATTCATAGACAGTCTTTTTCGTGAAACTAGGAATTCATTGAATAGACTGGAAGGCATAGAAGATGGATTAGGAAACAGAAGTAATACGGAGCTATCTTTTGTCAGCCTTCATTTTTCTCTAGTTCATTTGAATCGCTCGACGTTTATGCAGTCGGTCGGGTGTTTATCTTTTTCGGCATTCACACAGACATAGTGTTACAACTCTTATGAGAGATCGAAAATGATTCTGGCACACTCCACTGTGTCCAACAGAAAAGACCGATTAAGCATTTAGAAAATCCACTCTATCTAAACCAAATGTTGAACGAAAATTCTGCTTGCTTCAGAATTTCTACTGAAGAATCATCCTCACCGATTGCAACTCCAACAGTATTCAACGAAAAAATTATACCAAACGACGATAAAGAAGGTGATTTCAGTACAACTGCGCTACTTCGCTCTGAAGTTTTTCTGCTGTAGACACTTTAAATAGACCTGAGTTTAAACAGGTTTAAATAGACCTGAGTTTTTCTTGTTCTAGGAAACAGTTGCAGATCCGATGAATTTCCCCTTTCAAGCTCAAAAAGAAAGCTTCTGATCGAAAATAAATAAGTCTTGTAATAATATGGGACTCATCATACACTTGTACTACAAACAGTAATCGTCGGAGGTCCTGACCTTGCTCTTTTGCCTGCCAACTTTCTAACATCACCGTAGTCGACGTATAGCGTTGACCGCTTAGTCAACTTTGTTTCTTTTCTTCGTTCCACTAATCCAAGCACATTCAAAATGTCACTCATCGAATGGCATCGCGCTAATCATGAAAAGAGTACCGACTGACAACATTTTGGTGAGCTAAGAAAAAGAAAAAGAATCTGTGATCCTTTTTTATAACCCCCTATTATGATTAGACCTATAACCTCAATAACGCCTTTGTATTGTAGGCTGGTGTCGAAATAAGAAGTACATTGAGAAAGTTGAAGGCGGCTTTATGTGTACGGTATGTCGGAAAATATACGGTAGATATAATTCGGTGTCGTACCATGTCACGATCTACCACCGTAATCCTCCAATCAGGTCTTGCACTTAATTTTTTTCTCTCTAGGAAACTTGAATTAGTCGCGGATTGATCCTAAAAGAGAAAACTTAAGGTGTGATGAAGCTGGATGCCAGTTTTCGACTCGAGAAGCACGGTATATTCACTTTCACAAGTACTACAGGCATCATATACCGCTTCCAGATAGTATCGATCTTGGTGAGTGTTGAGTCCCTTGTGCGGAAAGTTATCTTGGAGAAGAAGGATTTTTGATCCCCACTTCTACCGTTGATATCGAATCACCTAATCATGTTCTAAATTCAGTAAGATTATCTACAGAGTATTTTGAAATAGAGGATTCTTAACCAAGAACTGTTGATTCTCCTAAAGAATCATAAACTGAAAACCTAGAGGCTTTTTTTTACTTTTAATCGTAATGTTTAGCCATCGCTGTACTGATTTTGTTCAAAATACAACCTTCTACAATTTGTGAACAATCTATGCTCTAAACCTTAAGACTACCGTATAAATAACACGGTATTGTGGTGGTGCCGCCCACCAGCCAACACACTCAACGACGAATCGGACTCTCGAATTGGACGTTTTCTTCGGAAAGATATTTTTCATTGACATCACTTGCGGTGAATTAGTGCATTTTCCTTGTACTAAAAACACAATATACAACACAGCCTCGCTTGTCCGTCTGAATAAAGTGTCCTATAGTGTGAAAGGGAAATGGCCCGGATGTTACAATAGAAGTTCCAGCTTGACGGGATGAAAATGACTCCTTATTAGAGCATAATGCATTCAGCGTCCTTTGAAGCACTCTCCCTCAAATTTCGCGTATCACAAGAAGTATCGATTAACAATCATTTGTCAAAAGCAAATCACTATTATATCGTTGTTGACAATGAGAAGGGTGGTGTGGCGCAGTGGTTAAACGTTCTCTGCAGTGCACACGTGGTTGATGATTCGATCTAGCGCCACTGGCTCATCAAGTATTCCAACCCTTCAAGGCTGGTAAATTGGTGCCAGATTTGTCTGGAAGAATAGCGGCACTAACTTGATATATAGGCAGGCCATCACTGTAAAGGCCAGATATGCATTCAGTCACCTCTAACAGTTCTTGGTGAAATTGAATGCAGCCGTCAGGAATTCACCGACGCTGAAAGCTTTATCCCTTCATGCTTTTAACAACGATAATACTTATTGGTTAATTACAATATTTTCACTACTCAATATAGCGACTGGTCTGGATGGTCACTGCACGTTTAAAAATAGATAGTAGGCGTATCCGTTCTCGAATTCGTCACAGGTTACTGTACGTTAAGCAATGGAGTTCATCAATGACAACAGATAAGATTTGCAGTTAAAATTGAATATTTCAGGTTCACGCAAATGTCCATTTTGTCGACATGTTTCAAAGAGTCCAGCAATGCTGGAGAAGCACATCGCTAGGCATGTGCCAGAAAAAAAAGGGAGAATGATCGAAAGTTACAGCTGCGATCAGTGCATGTACAGGTATTGACCTCGAGTTGTTCACTTATGTAAACAAATTTGATTGCAACAGTCTCATTTTGAAAAATAAACAGCTTCTGCTCACCCACTTCAACACCTCACTTAGTACGCATTTGATTGACCCGTTAGTTCCATTGATTTCGTAAATTGGTGGCTCAGCGAGATTTTATCACTCTGGAGTTTGGAGAGTCGTTAGAAATTGTTTATCGCGAGAAAAATTTGCCACTATGTGACTTGGTGACACCCAGCACAGCTGTGAATCGTTACACATGTTGAGTCCTAATCGGTCTCTTGGATCGAAGTGTCGAACTTCTAAACGCCTTGGGAGAACTTGCTGGAGTATATGCACGCCCCGTGCATTGCTGTTCGTCATTGCGGTACCATCAGCCACAATGATACAGTAGACCATTGGAGACTTCGTTGTCTATAAACGCATAATGCACTCCTCCATATTTCTGATGCCTTATGCTCTCGTCTGATCATTCATGGCGATTAATTAACTGGTACATTCAATCGACGGTTATTTATATAATTCAACTATTTAGTAGTAAGGTATTCATATCACTATATTGTATTGCCAAAAAATCTGCATTGTTGGTAATTGCGGTTTCGAGGATTGTTTGGAATCCGAATGGCATCCGCCTCCATTCATTCATCGTTAACCAACGGCAATGACGTGATTCTACATCACATACCGTAATAATGAATAAGCATAGTCGAAGCGATGTAGACGATACAGTAGTCACTGGCCAACGATCAATCACCCACGAAATACTACCCCGTTTTCGCGTGTTTTGCTCTGAAATCTGGTTCTATTTCGAAATAAGACGCGCATAGCATAGTAAGTGTAATAGTTGACTTTGCCACACATCACGCTTTTTTTCTGGTTTCCACAGATGTTGTGAAAAAATGTGGTAACTGAAAAACAACCACAACTCGTGGGGAACAAGTGGCAACCAGATTTGAACTGCCTATGATTCAGTCCCTTTTTTTTTAGGATAAAATGTCCATAAATCATAACTAACCAATGTTAATGAAGCTGCCTTACATTTCGATGTCTTGATGGAAGGAACACCATCGGTTTATGCACAAGGTGAAAAATCTGCGACATGTTCTATGCATGATTGTCAAACTGCAGAAATCCCATTCAGAACCAGATTCTGATCAATTTTACGCTAATTCAATTCGATTTTCGGCTTCTTCTTCTCCTAAATGATTAAGAGAATTCTGAAAGTTCGATGGACCTACACATACTATCTAACTTCACCAGTGATGAATGAGGTAGAAAATTTTAAAACATTGATGTGCTCACAAAAAAGGTACTTATCCGAGCTTCCCTAAGGAACTAGCTTTAACAGTCCTCGAGATTTCCTCTAAAATCCAAACGTAAAGAAATCTTGCAATGATGAACAACTTTCAATCTCCTCCTAGTGACTACGATTCGTCGACGTTCGGTGCCTTTTTTCTCGTAAGGGCTGAAGGAAACCTGGAGTGTCGCATGTTCGTTTCTAGGTTTCCATGCTCACAAAAGTTCTAAGGTTTTAATTGCCTTCCCATTCCTTTTAGAGGCATGGTCATGGGCAAAACGGACATGATAGGTTGTAGGTGATCAACTGGGGAACACCACAGAACGACCATTGTTTCACAAAGACCTCTTAATTTTCCCTACATGGTACACAACAGTATTTCCACGTCTTTCAGTACGTACGCATTCAGATATCCAACCGCACGAAATCAATCACCATGTGGTGCTCAAATTAAGATGTAAAAACGAATTGTTTGTCCGGCCAGTTCAACAGTTCATCAGTTCCAACCTCACTTATCATCTCTTTCACTCCAACTTAGTATACCTTCAAATCCTCTTTTAAACGATAAAGCATGAAACGTTCAGCGTTGACCAATCCCTTTAGTGATGCGCCATGCATCCAACTTCTTAGAGAATATTAAAGGTGATTACATGCATGTCATGTGAATTCTATTGTAGCATATCGCTAATTATAGGTCTAAGACGGAGCTGTTACTAATCCGGCATAAGCAGTTCGCACACATGATTGACCTGTTTCCACAACGTATTCGTTGCTCGTTGTGTGAGTACTCCTCAACCTCACAGCAGTCTTTAATTCTTCACATTGCATCAGTACACTCACCATCCGAATCCATCCCTAGCATTGTCACAACAGATGAACCACACTCAGAGGAATCAAAGAAACAACTTTAGAAAACAATATCATAGCAAGACTTCGCTTTCGGTTTGGAACATCCACATTCATAAGAATATTACGTTAACCTTATTACTGCAAATAGAATTGTAACCACCGTTAATGTTCTACAGAATATTCTCGAATTTCCAAGTGTTAGCGGTCCATTATTTTAAATACATTCCTAAAGTTTCTATTTTCGAACTAACGTCCATTATGTCCTGCTGTAACAGACAAAGGCTTGCAAGTCGATGAAACTCATTAGTACAACAACAGTAGCGTCCTATCGCAGCGGACAGGTTTATTTTGCGGAGTTCTTGATAGGAAACACGACCACTGGTCCATTCGACCTCGGTATAGTTGAAAAATTGGCTTCTTCCTTTCTGCTGTTCAATAATGGTATCTGTAAAGCAGAGCAGATGCCCTTCCAGTTGTCATGTCCAACAAATTACCAACCTAGAGATGGACATCTCACTTTTGTTCACTTTATGCTTGCTAAAAACTGTGACATTCTCAGAAGCCTTGTCATCGTGCCACTATGTATTGCCTCTTCCAATTCTTTTCATACGGCTTTATTTCCAGTAAAGACCTTTGTATTGAGTACTTTCACTTCCGATATATGTGGATCAATATGTAAATTCGTAGTATCGTTTCAATTCAACATATTTGGAGATTTATTTCCTTAATTATTAAGTTGGATATGACTGCATTTTCATCCATTATTACTGAGTCACTGGTATGGTTCTATAAACACAATTCTTATAATAAAAATGAAGCTAGCACAATGACTCCTGCATGAAAACTGGGAATGAACAAGAAAAAAAGGGGAGGTACCTAGTAGCCTATTCACACTCGAAATCCCACGTAAATTCTTTAGTGAGGTAAGCTTTGAACTGCATAGACTTCCTTTTCAGCTCGGGTGGAGCAACATCGGAGTCTGAAATAACCTTTCCAGGTCACAATCATATTACGCCGACAATAAATTTTCCTACCTAGGTAAATGCTGTACATTATTAAAACTATAACCATGGAAAACACAAGGGTGTCAACATGTCAAACTAATAATGTAGATAACGCTAAAGAACCTGTATTTATGTCAACCCAAAATGAACGAATAATGAAACCAACCCCTTATATTCGCAAACAACATAGACAAGGTTGTAGTTAAGAAATTGTCTCGTGACACAATGTCGACGAAAAAGTCTGTAGGGCACTCTTTTAATTCGAAAAACAAGACCTAAATCGACAATAATTCGTCCCTGAGAACGTGATATCTATGACGTCACGACTGCTGAATTATAGTACAAATAAAGGTAATCATACTCTGATGAATGACATAAACATCTCTGATCTTGGACCAAGTGCAGAAGGAGAACAACATAATAGGTGGATTAACCGTTTCCACTGCTCAAAACCTTCAAATACCTAAAAAAAAAAAGAGAGACAGAACTATTCGCTAACAGCATTACAAGAAAATATACTGTTCAACACGACAAAGAATAACATTTAGGTTGTTACTATCACGTAAAAGACAGTACAAAACAGAAAGGAAGCCCCAACAGCTAACAAACAACTCGCAGAAGCTCATCGTAGTGCGATACTAGTGATCGCCCTCTACTTCTCCCTTGCCTACCAGTTTATGTTGCTCTGTCAAAATCCGAATAGCACAATATGTTTCCTACAGGATCTTTATGACGAACCTGCCGTGCGTTTAACATGAAGTCGAACCAGAAGTCATTAACGACTCTTGTCCACAAATTCACGTTAGGACGCATCAAGTGACCTGCCCACGTGATTTCCGACATCCTAGTCTTTGTGGCACTGTCTTTAATTTTTGATAGTCAGCAAAACTCTGCATTCTGAATCTTATATTTCATCTATGCGAGGAATCCTCATAATCTCACCTTCACTTTAACATGTTCGATGGAGCTAACAGAGCTTTTATCATGCTTACATAGCGTCCACATTTCCGAAGCGTACGTTAAGCAATGGACAGTCAATAATTAAATAACGCAGGTTTACATCAGAACGTTCTTTGTTTTCATTACTTTACCGCGATTCTTTCAACTTCACCAAGCCGCTCATTCCCTCCTAGCCAGCTCTGCAACTCACTCTTGATAACTAATTAGCTCAAATACACAAAGCGAAGATATCTTGAGATAATTGTTAACACTGAGGTGAATGGATTACGAAAACCCATTCTACTCCACGAGAACAGTTTCCATGAGGTGTAATCCGTTACAAATTTTCTTTGCATGCGCTGTCGAAATCGCTCGTCATTCGTTACGCCTACACAATGCTTGATGTCACCAGGAAGATGTGACCTGCAAAACGGAGGTAATACCGACACCGGTCACCTACTTTAACTGCCATGTTATCCCACTTTCTGCATGATGTTCTTAGCAGCAGTGTAGAGGAATGGAGAGGAGAAGAAGCGAAACAGTAATGCCCAGTTGGATCCGTTTCTACATAGGTAAAAAGTCCTTAAAGAACAAAAAAATCCTCATCGTAAAGTTTCAGAGCTGTTTAACGATTCTTGTCCACCGATACTGAGCAAGCACACCCTCGATATCCGGAGTCTAAATGACCACTTTGTTCTCAAAGAGTCGAAATCGATAAATGTGCGACAAATTGGCATGGTATACTAACACCATAATTCAATAAGCTTCGTTAACCTGTCGATAAGATCCTATCGTTCTAAACCCTCTTTCAAGCCTGGCATTGATGTTTTTCGTCAAGTCTTGTCGAGATCGTCCCAATTAAAAAATGTGCAAACGAAAGACAAAATGCGAACTTTTTATTTACTGCCTACCCTAATTTTTTACAGTAGGGTATTATATGAAATGCAACCACAATGATGCTGAGATATTTGCAAAACTCCGGACCTCAGGTCTCTACGCTGGTGATTGAACCCGCTACCACCTCTTCCAGGTACTAGCGTATTCACCACCACGTAGTTGGAAGTAGATGAAAAGTTAACACTGTACATTGTATTTTAAAAGTTAAGTTAAAAAGTTAACAATGTAACATTGTAATTTCAACTACAGCCTCAGCTTACTTACTTCATACTTGAATGACCCATCTTCACTGGTTGTGTGGACTCAGGCATACTTTCCATTTCTAAAGGGGTTTTGCGGATTTAGCTAATGTGGTTCCCTGCAGTCCCGAGGTCAGCGTAGACAAGGTTTGCCCCAGGTCGTCATCACCAAAGAGAATTCCCGCCCTTGTGGATCAGAGGGAAATTTGCCACCATGCGACCTTGATACCAGTATGGTGGTGGATCCTGGTAATGGTTTACTCCTAGCTGGGCTTCCTAGTGGAAACGCCGGACTCTTCAGTTTTGGAAGCCCTCCTGGTGGGATGAATACCTCCGCTGTACAACGCAGCCCGACACCTAGGAACACTTCTTACCCACGATGAGGCGGTAAACCGCTGGGAGGCAGCTTCAGCTTAAGTGGGTTCAGCGCGGATTTGTGTTCCGTAGATCGATCCGGTCGACGGGTGACTGCTGATTACATTGCTAGATGGAAATCTAGCTGGAAAAAAAAAGGCGAAACGAAGAACCTACATGTTGTGGTGGTGAACACGTCAGCCACAGGAAAAAGTAATAGCGTGTTCGATCCCCACGCAGCACCTGCGGTCCAAAAAGACAGTGTTGAACAAGTGGTAGAATATGAATCTGTACCATGTAGAACAACATGTTTCTAATAGGGATTGCTGACCAGAAACTTTGCGTTCTACAAACAGGGTGTGAAAAACCAATGAAAACTTTGTAGACGTTCTAGTTTGGCTTTGCTGACGACGTATTTTGCACGATTTTTCGACGATGTCATGTTGTCAAACTTCGCAAAGGAGAACCGTTAATGAGATGAATTCATTATACTTCACATAATGTAACAGGATGTGAATGAGAATGCCTAGGAGATCGAAACAGAAGTCATGGATGACCTATTCAACTGCCTTTCTGCAGTCAGTAAGTTCCGTCTGGCGTTCATTTTAGCTTGCAATTAGTGAAATTCTGGTAGGTGTTAGAGATCCTTCAGCCAAGCTCTCCAGTTCCAGCTAACCTTCCCGCTCTTTTATGCTTGAAACTTCTATGAATTTTCAGTAAAGCTTTTTACGATCGAAGATAAAGCAATAGTTGCATCCCACACACAATACTTTGGCGTAACATGTACTTTTTGGAAAAAGGAGTTCCTATGCAACTTTAATACGTTCGGGTTTCGTAGCACTATCCTTATAACAATAGATGGACCGCTCGTATAATTCACCGAAAGAATCGATAAACGCATTTTCTAAGAAGTTACCAAAGAAGTAACAACATCACAAATGATGAAGATTTCAAAAAATTTCCTCGATTGCACGGTTGTCGCTTTGTGAGAACCTTCTAGGAAGAAACAGAGGCGGAAATAAACAATTTCGACCTTTCTAAAAGACTCAAGCAGCCCCTGACTCCAGTCCGGAAGACCGGATGTGAAATTTCTCAAAGAGGCGTTGTTAATGAAATCACAAATGATTTGTGAGCACTGGTTCAAATCAAAATCAGAAAGTAATTTAAAAAAGATAGTATGAAAACTGCGTAGAGCTGTTAAGAGGTAGAACGATTTAAAAAAAAACTAGAACAAAGATACTGAATCCAAACCTGTCCGATAAGGAAGCAAGCAAATGCGAACTGAATTTCTGCTAATAATTGCTTCCAGTCATCGTCTAACTGTCGTATTACTCGCTCCAGTCGGTCGGTGTAGTCAATTCCAACGCGATTTTCGTCAATCTAAATTAATCAAACCAGTTATGAGACCATGATTAAGTCTGAAATAAGGTGAAAATGCTATGAGTCGTTTGAAATGACCCTTTACTCATAAAACAATTGTTAAAAACTCACAACGAGTTGTGGTATTGCCATAAATCGGATCTCATAACCTTCTCTGATTTTCATTATCGGCAAACCTTGGGTGTCCACGAAGCGAGTGCGGATCGGATGCTCTCGATCAACACTGTTGCTGCACCCAACCGTTGCATTAAGCTTAACGCAGAAATTCATAGAAACAACTGGAAGATGAAACCATAAAATTGTGGGAAGAAAGAAGAATAATGAATGAATTATACCTCTTCGTTCTCCATTAAACATGTTTCCATACTTATTAGTTCAGCCTGCGCTGATATTTGGCCTTTTAACGGATTTAACCTATAAATCAAGGATATTTGAATACAACAATTAGGTCGAAACATCAACGACTACCTTTCAATAGTGTCCAGGTTTATGAAGTCCGTTAAAGCATACCAACTTCGATAATTTTCAAATGGATAAGGTCCTAACGAAGAATCGATGTTCTTCAAATTCATCCTGAATCTATTTACCTGAAAGAACATAAAGTGCATCACATCAATATCTGAATCATCCTAGCAATTGGCAAACAAGAACGGAAGGAATAATGGTAACATACTTCTTCATCGGATACAATTTCGATTGAAAAAGTCTCTTTCAACTTGTCCCACTTCTTCACCACAATTTCCTCTGACTTAAAATTGTGGAAAAACCCTAAAATTAGAATGTTTCTCAGATGATAAGAACTTGTAATAATCATACATTACGACGGGAAAACCGTACAACTAAAACCAAAACGTTTAACGTTTTGTTTTCTGCCTTCTATAATTTTCATGGCAGGTTACTAAGCGAAATACAACCACAACGTTGCTGAGATTAAACGTTACGTTAAACATTGTGATTTCAACTACAGCCATAGCTTAACTGGGTTCTATGCCGATTTGCGCTCCCCAGATCAACCCCGCTGACGGGTGATTGCTGTGGCAAAAAGATCGATAGAAATAGCTGAGAGACGTGCGAAACAAAGGACCCGCATGGTGTGGTGGTGAACGCGTTACTCCCCGGAAAGGATAATAGCGCGTTCGTTCCCCACCATAGACACCTGCGGTCCAGAGTTTTGCAAATATCTCAGCAACGTTGTGCTTAAAACCAAAACTTTAAAAACATAGAAAGTAGCGTAATGATAACGAAATGATAAACGCATGCTGCAAACTCTACTATGATTAACTCTAAAAAAAAAATAGATGCCGATTCCATTTACATACTACACTTGTGGTGTGCTTAGATAACAACAGAGACCTGACTCGCTAGCACTATACGTCCAATCACAATGTGAAGAGACCAATCATATTTCTCATTTTTCATTTATTTGTGGCCATCAGTGATCTAAGTTCGATATGAGATGCTCCTCTCCAACATTTTTCCTTAAAATCTCACATAGTTCGGTGAAAAATGGAAGCATCGGCCGTTGCTATTCCCTCGAATGCACCAATACATAGCGAGTTGGAAGCATTTTACTCGAAGACACTTAAGGTGCAAAAAAGTGACCATCTAGATAACTTTATCTACTGTGGGCTGATTTATGCCAATCAGTCTTCATGTTCACGCCCTATTATCCGGTTGGTTGAAGCTGTGAATGTGTATTAACCCCCCTATAATTACACAAGGAAATATGTAGACGCTAGTGGACATAGCAGTTTTCTTCATTGAAAACTAAGCTGCCAATTTACCATCGTAGGCAGTCAACTTACTACCCATCTAGAAAAGAAGTTTCTCCTTAGCTTCACATATTGATCATACATACACTTAGTAATATATGTACTATATTGATATATATCGCTAATATATCTAACCCTTTATCGCCACCAGTTTCTTAAAGAGATTCTTATAAAAATAAAAGTCTAAAATACGCCTTTACTACGATAATGACGAGAGAAGATGCAAAACCTTAAGCAGTAGTGGAACCGATGTATCAATCCGAACACATCCGTGCATGATGTTTTACAATAATAAGTAGCTTCTCAATTACATTTGGTAAAATCCTGAACTGACTGGTACCCAGGTGTAGCGAGAATCCCAGCAGTTTTTCCATTCATTCCGATGTCACGTAAACTTCATCCACGAGCGTAATAGGATTGCTGCATTGACTTGCCTGCTGTTGTTTGGGGATTTACATCCTCTTTCGTCACTGACATACCAAATCCCATCCCACTACAATTTCCTCCGTAATTCGGAACTATACATATACGCCACACAGATCCTCCTCAAATGAGGGATCTCGAGTCGGTTAGTCGCGAGGCTACGTGGCGCGTCCCCAGGTGGCGGATAGGGAGTTAATCGCTGGCCAAAAGTGACCTTCGCTTCCCTGAGACGCAGGTGGATTCAGGGGATGGACTTCCTGCTTATGCTGCGCCGATTTGGCGCATACTTTCTGCATTTACGAGGCGTATTCATGCACGCGGTGTGAGTGCGTTCTTGCTTATGCGGATTGTATTCTATGAGCTAATTCGGCCAAAAGTCTGCAATCAAGTGACTGGGGTATATGGGAGGCGGTTAGGAGTCGCCTCCAACAAATAAGCTCCACGTCCACACTGTGAGAGCCTGGCAAGCTACCCGTGAGTATACCCACCCTCCATGTTCAGAGTCCAGTAAGCTATAGGTGGGTATCAAAAAGCTAAAACAGTGAAAGAAACGGGCCTCATTCTTCTGACCCCGAAAGAACCCCCAAATTCGACAGCATTGGGCAGGACGAGTACGGAGAGGCTGCTAAAATCTCAGGGCCAGTGGAAGCTACTTGGATTGCAAAGAGCTAAGGTGACGATTTGTACCAACAATGCACGCACACTTGCAACCAAGTCCTAGATAGAAGACTTGCTCATGCAAGCAAGACAGAAAAGGCATGACGTCATCGGCCTTGCCGAGACGAGGAGACGCCAGCCTTTCAACGCCATCTATGACAACGGAGAAGAACTGTTCCTCGGAACATGAGACAGTAGAGAAGTCGGCTGCGTGGGCGTACTCTTCAACACGAGTTTGTTCATGAACATTGATTCATTCGAACAACTAACAACCTCAATCGAACGATTGAAGATTGAAGAGGTGTGGATCAACGCCGGCTTTGACAATATGTGTCGTTTACGCGTTGACATCAAACTAAGACGAAGAAGAAGTCGAAGAGTTCTATATGTATGAATTTGGAGAAGTTCTACAGAGAAGACCATACATTTTTCAAGGTCATCATTGACGATTTTAATGGCACGATTGGATCAAGAAAAACGTCTGAAGAACATCAAATTTGGAGTCACAGATTAGAATGCAACAAACAGATTTATTCAATTCATTAGTCAGCTGTTGAGAAGATGCCGTTGTCGATAACATCGACGAAGAATACGGTCGATTCATTCAACATCTTCACGTCAGCGCTATGAAAGCTGAGAGTTCGAAAATCACCAAGAGACGTCTCTCTCCAGAAACACCCGAGCTGATACGCCAGCGTGGAATCGTACGAGCTGCAGGCAACCGCAAACTAACGTCCGAACATGCAAAACAATACAGACAGGCGATAAAAGAAGATCTTAAAAAGAGAAGAGAAGCAGTAATGGTCGAAGCTGCATAGGTTGGGAAAAGCATTCGCAAAGTCCACCGAAGCATCGCCAATTACGATGCCAAGATGACTGCACTCCTACGCCCAGACGGAACAGTTATAGCGTCCAGAAAGGTAATGGAGAAAATCGTTCACGAATACTACTGAGATCTCATCGATAGCCACCTCCACCTTCCTGCATATGAAATAAAGGAGGATGGATATGTTGTACGACTAGTTCTCCCTCCAAAATCCGACATGCCATATCGTCGGTGAAAAATCGAACAGGAGCAGGTCCGGACAGGGTAAGATCAGAACACTTGAAGAACCTTCCACTGTCCTCGCAAAGACACTGGCTCGGTTCTTCACATGTTACCTATCTGAATGCAAGGTCCCTACTCAGCGAAAGACAAGGAAGACCGTGTTATTGTTCAAGAAGGGTGATCTACACGATATCGGCAACTACCGCCCAATCTGCCTGCTGCCTGTCGTCTACCAACTTTTCACTCGACTCATCCTAAACAAGATTGGCAGAACACTAGACGAAGAACAGCCATGGGAGCAAGCAGGTTTCGAAGAGGATTTAGTACGATGGACCACATCAACACGGTAACATTGCTCATTGAAAAATCGCGAGAGTACAAAAGACCGCTATGTCTCACTTTCATCGATTTACAGAAGGCCTTTGATTCAGTTGAGATGGAAGCAGTCTTGGAAACCCTTGATAGTCAAGGAGTCCCTACACAGTACCTAAAGATTCTTCGTGAGCTGCACAAAAATTTCACAGTGAAGGTATTACCATTCTACAACGATAATAACATTGATGTCAAAAGAGGAGTCAGGCAAAAATGGATGGGAAGAAAGGAAAAAAAATGAAAAGAAGGGTGGGAAGAAAGGAAATTAACAAGATTGTTCTTGTTACTTGGCTTTCGGTACCACTTTGTCAGGTAACCGCTACTTGATAGGTTTATTTAGACGTCCAAAAACGGAAGCCAGTTTTCTCTCGGTTTCTCATTTCCTTTCTCGGTTCATTTCCTTTCTTACCACCCTTCACACACAAAGAGGGCGATTGTGAGAAACATGTTCCGAACAGCCACCTCTGTGTGCACTACCACGGAACTAAAGGAAGAATCGCGCGGCTTGGCTCGGCAAATAGCCATCTCCAATGGCTACGAAATAGTAACCCCACGAGATAAGTTTACAAGGAGAACGACGCGCCCACGCGAAACACTTGGCCAAAACAAAATCCCGTTTATGTTGCCTTTTATAAGCGATGAAGTAAGCGTAGCTATAAAACGATGCTTAAGAAGGGCAAGTCTAGAGGAATCGGTAGCGATAGTCGAAATACCACCGGCTACTCTACGGCGCCAATTAGTTCGCAACCGCCTATATGACCGTCTGCGTGAAACAACAAATTGCGAAATTTGCCCTTACGGCAGGGACCGTGATTGCATGAGTTCAGGTACGATATACCTGATCTCTTGTAATAATTGCGGAGATGAATATATTGGCGAAACGGGCAGACCCTTGTGTATCCGTATAAAAGAACACCTAGATGGCAAACGAAAACTAAGACGAAGCACCCCACTAGGCACGCATAGGTTACAAAAGCATAGCGGAGACGATTTTGAAGTAGAAGTCAATATCCTTGCAGAGGAGTCCAAAACACCAGCGCGAAAACTCCTTGAGGCTCTTTGGATCAATGCCAAAAACCCTACAATGAATAGCAGGGATGAATGCCCGGAGATCATACGCGACCTGATCTCGTACGTTCGCATCGATTTTTGATGTGGGATGGTGCAGTCGTCAACCACATGCGACTATAATCAGCTGTTCTAAACTTCCTCATTGGAAGTCACGAAAAAGTGGTGGATGGTGCAGTCGTCAACCACATGCGACTATAATCAGCTGTTCTAAACTTCCTCATTGAAAGTCACGAAAAAGCGGTGGGTCTTCTTTCGAGAAGCTGTTGATCATGTAATTACCAAAGAGTCTTTCGTCTTTTTGTAAGTGTTATTGAAGCGTTTGGCCTAGTAGATTGTATATCAGCATACCCTTCCAGGCTCCGAAACGTCAGCTAGCGTTGTATTGTATTGTGTTTTTATGGAAGTAAATGTATGCTGTTTAAAAACCTCGCGATTGCTGAACAAGAAAACGACACATTCATATCTCCGAATAGTTCAGTTATGTCTACCTAGGTCGGGAAATCAATACGATGAACGACTTAGCTCCAGAGCTGAGCACAAGAAAACGAGCGGCCGGAGAGCTTTCAAGAGCATCGAAGAAGTAGTGGGGAGAACGAGGAACACCCGACTCCGTGCCCACCTTATCGACCCAACGGTACTTGCTGCCCTAACGTATGCATCAGAAACCTGGTCGCTGCGCAAACAGGATGAAAAATCACTCTGCGTTATTGAACGCGCAGTCGAAATGACGATGCTAGGAGTATCCCGTTCCACACAACTAGGGGAAGGGATCCGAAGCTCCGTCCTGCGTCAACGAACAAAAATCAAGAATGCCGTTCTGTACGTCAAACAGTCGAAGATAAGGTGGGCTGGAGACGTAATGGGTATAAATGACAAGCGATGGACAAGAGCCGTTAGTGACTGGATTCCTCGGGATGTCACATGTACTGCAGGAAGACCACTGACCCGATGGTCAGAGTTCTTGATAAAGACCCTTGAAGAAGGATATGATGCTCGACGAGTCCCTAGAGCGAGCAGAACCCACTGGGCTACTCTTGCACGCGACAGGGAAAAATGGAAGATTTACTTGCGTCCGTTCGAGTCACTCGACGATCAACGGGACTACAGGTAATTGGTGGTACAGATGAATGTTAACGGATCGCTAGAGCTGAGAGCCGCTGGATACTCTCATATACATCTAAAGCGGTAGCTGTTCCTATGACGACGACTACTGCGATCAGAAGAAAAAGGAAGTCGTAATAAGCGCAATATTTACTTACTTGGATACTTGGCTGGCCTGTCTTCATTGGCTGTGTGGACCCTAGCATAATTTTCGTTTTTTCGGAGTTTTGCTGATTTAACCATTGTGGTTTCCTCGAGTCCCGAAATCAGCCTAGCTAAAGTCTGCCCGGGTCGTCTTGCTCTTAGCCGGGCTTCCTGATGGACACAACGGACTCTTTCTCAGCTTAGGAGACCTACTAGTGGGACGA